CTGAAGAACACGCTGTTCCCAGTCACCCGTGGCGTGGGACGGCTGAATCTCCCTGTTCCTGCCTCTCCCACCCTCCTGTCACTAGAAGGCCGAGGATGTTTGGGGCTGTTCCTTGCCTGCTGCTGTCACATTTCACGGGACAGATGGTGGGGGCAGGTGCCCAGCTGGGGCTGAAGGTGTGAGGAGCAGGAGGGTGCTGCCTGCCCTGCTCTGCGGCCCCAGGCCTGCTGCTGAGCTCCCCGTTCATCACAGCTCCGTGGCAGCAGATGCTGGAGCCCACCCCAGGGGCCAGAGCCGAGGCACTGTGTTCCAGAGTGCTCTGGAGGGCTGGCCTGGGAGAACAGCTCTGCCTCCCCCCTCCCTCACTGCAGCGAGCTCCCCGTGGGTGCTGCCATTCCAGCAGCACGGGCAGGCTCGGGGAGATCCTTTGGCCCTGCAGGAGGGCATCTGCTGTCCCTCTGCTGTCCCCGTGTTGGAGCAGCTGCTTGGATTCCCACACAACCAGACTTACCAGTAACGATGCTGACAGTGCTGGTGGGAGCAGGGGAACAGACGCCTGTGTTCTTGTTCTCAGCCTTCCTAGTGTTTTAGCAAAGAGCAGTTTGAGGGAGCTGTGTCTTTTCAGTGTTGCACAGTCATTTGGAAGCGTGTTCTTGGGTCATTTCCTCTTGGAAATGAGGAGGACCAATTGATGGATGAGGGGCTGGGGGCAGCATGTGGGCTGTTAAGAAGGTGCTTTCTGAATCTGGACTTTTATTCCTCTTATCTTTCAGTTTAGATATTCTCTGGCTGCAAATGACAGTAAATTGTCCCTATTTTTCCACTCCTCACCCCAGTTAGGATCAGAGGTGTGGGATGGTTGCTCAGCAGCCCAAGAATGCTGGTGGTGAGGGATGAGTTCTGTGTGGTGAGTCCTCACTTATAACTGTTCCAGGTCATAAGGAGTTGATGCTGGAAGGTGGTGTCACCTCCCTTTTCTCCTAGCACAATGTTGCAGGCCTGTGTGCTTAATGTAGAAAAGAGAATCATAACATTGTTCCTGAGGCAAAACTTGTGGAGGAATCGTTCCGGGTGCTGACAGGCCTGTGAAGCACTAGTTGGTGGAATGTGTGAAGTTCTGCAAACCAACCTTCCCTGCCAAGAGGCACAGCTCAGTGTCCAAGTACCCTCCTTATCTCCTCGTTTTCAAGCAGTGGCAAGTAAAACAAACACAGGCTCCAGCTCTGGAGTCCGTGAGCCGTGGCTGCCAGGAGGGTGAACCCCAGAAGGGCTGCTCTGCACATGCCCCGGGTGCAGGACTGGCAGTGCCTTGGCTCCTGGGCATGGTCAGAACCAACAGACTCGGCCAGGGGGGTGGCTGGAGTGAGCAAGGAGCAGCAGTGAAACCTCTGCATGGTTTCTAAACCAGCTCCAAGGTCTGGCTCTGTCGGATTTGTTAACTTACCACATTCCTGCACACGTTGAGCAAGAGGTGGTGGGACTCCAGTCGCTGAGCCCAAAGCCAGGAGGATGGGAAGGGGCACACCATGGGTACACACACGACTCCTGGTCCTCACCCCTCCTTCAACAGCAGAAAACCCAAATGGGCAGAGAATTTGATTCCCAAAGTGTTTTGTTGTTTAAGAATCTGAATTTATTTTTTTAAAAGTGGTTAAGCTTCCTGTGATCACCAAGTGGAACTGGAAAATATCTGTACAAGTCCCGGTGTCTGAAGTAATAGAAAAGGAAAACTTTATTTTATGTTGCCATTACTTTTGGAGCTAATCATAAAGTTTTAAAAAATCACCAATCAAGTCTTATAAAATTAAGACTTTAAATATTCTACAAACTATTATCTTGTAACTGTGCTGCAGCAGTGGTAGACCAGCCAGACCCCAGCAATTAAGGGTTTGATTTTTTCAGTGAATTTTGAACACAGAATTTTCCCTGCATGGTGCAGCACCAGCCGTCTGG